GCTCTCGTAGTACCGCTGGGCATGCTGGGAGTGGTAGCCGGGGAGAGTCTGAGGGTCAGCACGATGACCAGCGGCTGACCCTACCTGTGTAAATAATGTCCTAGTAGTTCTAGTGCCCTGTGTAGTCTTATAAGAGTATAGCGTGTTGTTAAATAATCACCACCTTAAAGATACAGTATGTGCGTGTAGATCTTCCGGTTGTTCATGGATAAAGATAGCGCTTAGTTTGTATATGAAAAATCGGTTTATTAATCTCTTCTCCACTGGTCCTTTGTTCTGAAAAGAACCTGTAAACGCTACAGTAGTTTTATTTTGAACTTAGAAGTCTGAGTTGCCTGGAGCTAAGGGGCGGCTTTATAAAAGGAGCTGAGAGTCTGATAATCAAGTTTAAAGTTACCTTTTAATCAAGTAGCATAAACCAGAATATAACAAAAATAAAAAAGTGGTGTTTCTAACTTCAATTGCTGAACAAATATAAGGTTGGTAAAACTGTTTTGTGTTTTTAAGTGACATTTTGTGTTTGAATCATTGCACACATGTTTTTTAAGAACTTGGAAATGCAGTTTGTTAATGTGATAGTGTTTAGAAGACTAAAATAGCTCAGAAAGAAATGAAAAATGTTAATAAAAATGCAGACAAGAGCTAGAAGAGTAGAGGTTATACAATGGTAAATGAAGACTGGATGAGGTTCATGTTGTCCTCATTAATGATGTTGCAGTACAGCCTGGGTGTGAGAAACTTTGGTAAAGCAAGTGAAATGTAGCTTCAATGCCTTTATAAGTAATTTTTCAAACTGCTGTTTTGTCTTTTCAGTTATGCAGTTTAATAAATTATATTATTAAAGCCTCACACAGAAAATTCTCTGCATTTTTATGTTACAAAAATGAGGTAGTAAAACACAAAAATGCAATATGAAAATACCTATCAGATTTACAATAGATGAAAAATAATTTTTAAAAATCTTAGGATCATCCTTGTATTTGTTACATAAACAATAGTCGCATACAGACTTATGTTTTTACACTAATACATTTAAACAAGTTTAGCAAGGTTCAGCAGTTTGTTTCAGAAAAATTAAAAATGGTTTATTCCAGATGGCTTAATTATCTATCTATCTATATATTATCTATAAAAAGTTATTCTAATATTACTGATGTATTACAGAGTCGGTTCCAAATTAAAATGAAATTCATGAATAATTTCAATTTAAGTGAAACTGGTAATGAATTGGAATTGCCACAATTTTCAAAGCTTAGAAGTTTCATTTTTAGTGAATGGAACTCCAGTGATTCCTTTCCTGAGGGAACTGAAACTGCTCAATCTCCATAACACCAATCCAGCCACTTTGATAATCAATCAGTAAAGTGCATCAGAAAGCTGTATTTCAATGGGTTGTTCTTACATAATTATTTTTTACCTTGATTTATGAAAAATAATATGTTAGATATATTACACCTTTCTATGGCTGTTTAAAACTGAGGTTACTTCAGACTGCTTACCTGCTTTAGTGTTCACCTGTTGTATGTTTGGGTTTTTTCCCTAAAGAAAAGCAAAACCAGGGAAAAAAATGAACTTTGCTGAGGAAAAAGTTTGGGGAAAAAATCTTCTACAGGTTGCCATAGACTAGTTCCAGAAACAAAGATTAATTCTATTTTACTAAAAATAGAAATTCAATTTAATCAGTAGACATTTCTCCTTCAGTTATAGCCTGAATGATTTCTTGTCTGTGCTGTTCAACAGGAACAATACTTCCATCTGTTCTGTTCAAACACCTCTCCAGAAAAACAATGAGTGTTTGAAAACATGGCATAGGAAAAATACAAGAGACAATCATGGAGAGTCAGATGGTCAATGAGGTAGTCAACTGATGATAATGAGATCTTTTAAAATATTTACAGAAATCGCTTCCTTGGCAGTGTAAATTAGTTCCAATCCTAGACTTACCTGTAACATTATCCTTACTTGTAAAAATTCCAAAACCATTACACTTTTGGCAATTCACAATGTATGTGTACATTTCTTTAGCTTTTACAGGAATGCTCAGTAGAAAGCTCAACCAACAGCTTAGAAAACCTGCTAAATCTCTAACTGGATGGATACTGTCCAAGCTCTTCATATGGCACCACCGGGTCCTGGAAGAAAATGCAGTGAAGTGTGTTGAGATTCAGCCAGATGACACGGTGCTGGAGTTGGGATTTGGGCTCGGGCTGGGGCTCCAGGCTGCTGCTCCTCTCCTACGCGGTAGGGGAAAGCTGTTTGGGGTTGATCATTCTGATTACATGTTCCAAAAGGCCAGTGAAAGGATGAGGGCTGAGATTGAATCTGGAAAGGTTACTCTCTTCAATGGCAACATCATGGGCATGCCCCTTCCTGACAGCAGTGTGGACAAGGTCTACCACTGCAACTGCTACTACTACTGGACCAACATGGAGGCTGTGGCCTCGGAAGTCCACAGGGTGATGAAACCAGGTGGGTTGAACAGTCAGACAGGGCAGCTGTTTTCTGGTGCTGGAATAAAGCTGATTCCAGAGCTTAAAGAGGGGAGTTACAAGGCAGGTCTTAAGGTCCACAATGCATTCAGTCTCAGTTAAAGCTAAGGGGAGAACTGACTGAAGTTTTCATATTTTGGGGGTATATGAAAGAAACGGATCCCTATAAAATAAAATGAGCAGAAACTAAGACACTAAAGAAACTTTTGTTATTTTTTCCCACTGTGGTGAATGTTACATTTATTTAATCAGTCTTAATCCTAAAATTAATACTAATTAAAAAACTAAGAAACTAAGGCACTAAGTCATTCTTTCCACTATTGTATATGTTACACTTATTGTGATTATAAATGTTAAAAATTGTGTTTCGGCAGGTGGTCTCATGGTGACAACTCTCAGACATTCTTCAAACAAGAAGGTAGCATTATTGAACGTTTTTCTTGATGAGAACTGGAAACCCAAGGTCTACATGGAGGCCCTGCGAGCCACTGGATTCACTGATGTTCGAATGGAGAATAAACAAGACAACAAAATCACTTTCCAAGCAATTTTTGCCACTGCTTCTAAATGATGCATGCAATTAAACATTGCTTCTATGAATGCTTCTGTTCATTTAATAACTAAGCACCTAATAGTTAGTTCTGTTAAGGTCTAATACATTTATGCTGATCGAATTTGAAATTGAAAATGGATTTGTGTGATGATTATTATCCCCATAGAACAACAACCTCACTAGAAGATGAAATAAAACCCTTCAAGTAATTGTTTGTGTTCATTTACACTTATTGATTTTTACACATTTGCATTCAGAGGAATTAAAAGTATCTTTATTGGTACATTGCATCGTTGAAAATCACCCTGTAGGGAACCAGAATTTTCCACCTGGTTAAGGTGACCAGTCACTTGTACAACAGAGTAGGATAATGTAAGCGAAGGACATTGTAATTCATTGGAGTACTGTAACCAACTTCAGCTGTAGTTGTGGAGCGGGAAGGATATGGTGGAGGGGATGGTGGAGACAGGTTTTCCATGAGTGTTGTAGTCTGTGAGGCATACATTTCTTGGCACTAGTTCAGGAAGAGAACATGGAAAGTCAACGGATCTGGATGTGGGTTAGTGTTCTAAGGAATACAGGCATAGTGCCAAGGGTACTTTGCATGAGCGCTAGTGTTGTAGAGATCTAAAAAAATCTAAGATTTTTCAAAAATGAAGTATTAAAAATACGGAGTAAGATTGGAGGAGGAGGAACTGGACAAGTCAGCTGCATGCCTCCTGCTTCCTTCTGAGAGTGTGGGAAGACAGTCTGAGATCACTGGGTAGTTGAGGACTGCAGGAGAGCGGATCCCAGGACTCTGCATGGGTTAGATGAGGGGTAGGTGGACACTGATTCCTGGCAGAGGTGCCCGGAAATGCAAGGCAAAGCTTTCTCTCTCTTTTCTCTGGCACTGGGAAGCTCAGCTGTCAAATTGGACCAAGGATCAATCCAGCCAGCTCCACTCTCAATTCTCAATTGGAAGTCTGAACTCTTCGAGGATATTTGGCCAATGGATGTTTGAGTATAAAACAAACATGATTCATATTTAGTTCACAATAGGAAATCCATATTTACTTGTATTTGAAAATATGAATGTGATGTAATTATATGAGTGATAAACTTTACGAGGTGGACCATAACGCATTCTATTTGATGTATTGTAAACTATTAACTCTTCTTGTAATCCCTGAGTGAATGATCAGCTTCCATAACATAGCACATTGTTTCACATAAATATTCTATTACATTTTCTGATTGTAATGCATGTTCTTATGCATGTTTTGGTGTTATATCAATAAACATAAAAAGCCATCAAGTACTCTTGCAATTCACCTTTACAATTTCTGAATGTTAAAGTAAATTAAAAGCCTCACATCATTACAATTACATTAAGCTGAAATTTGGTGACCACATTAATTTCTAAACAAACTTTCACATTATTAACTTTTATGTCACATATATACACAACCTGGGACAAAGCATGTGTCTTCAAATGTACAGCTTGTATTATTGTACCAGTAGCCACACACACTACTAGCCTAAGACCTTTGCAGGAATGTTTTTCTAGAATACTGATCTAACACAATATTGACTAACACATTTTGTCAGTCATCAAAGAAAGCAGTCAGCTTAATAAAACCTGACAAATGAAC